TGGGGTGAGGCGCGGCGGGAGGATGCGGGACGGCGGAGGCGGGACGCGGGGGAGGGGGGGATGGAGAGAGAGAGACAGAAAGAGAGAGAGGCGGGATGGCGGGATCGGGATCGGGTATGCGGGATCGGGATCGGGAAGGCGGGATGTGGATCGGGAAGGCGGGATCGGGAAGGCGGGATCTGGTTCGGAAATGCGGGATCGGAATTGGGAATGGCGGGATCGGGATTGGGAATGGCGAGATCGGGATCGGGAAGGCGGGATCGAGTTCGGAAAGGCGGGATTGGGATTGGGAATGGAGGGATCGGGATTGGGAATGGCGGGATCGGGATCGGGAAGGCGGGATCTGGATCGAGATCGGGATCGGGAAGGCGGGACGTGGGGGAGGGGGGATGGAGAGAGCGAGGGAGAGAGAGAGAGATAGATAGATAGATAGATAGAGAGAGAGCTGTCTCTTATACACATCTAGATGTGTATAAGAGAGAGATATTTGTTTGTGTGTGTGTGTGTGTGTGTGTGTGTGTGTGTGTGTGTGTGTGTGTGTGTGTGTGTGTGTGTGAGAGAGAGAGAGAAAGAGAGAGTGTACGTGTGTGAGAAAAACCGAGGATTGTTGCATTTGCAGATGCTATACAGGTTGCATAGGCTGCTGTAGCACCAGATGCATCCATAGCACCACCAGAGTGACCAGAAGTAACAACTGTTGCTATTGTGGCAGTAGCTGCAGCAGGTGCCACATCTCAAGAAAAATAAAATAAAATAATAATATTAATAGTAATAAAAATTACCACGTCAATCCATTGACGTCCAGGGGGTTGGGGACAGTTGGGGTCGGTTAAGGACAATTAGGGAAGGTTAGGGGAGGTAAAAAAAAAAAAAAGTAAAAGAAGTTAGGGGCGGTTAGAGACAGTTAGGGACAGTCAGGGACAGTTAGGGACAGTTAGGTAAGGATAGAGATATAAGTCGCTCAGGCCAATCCGAGTTCCGCCTGGTCTTGGGTAAGCTAGGGGAAGGACAGTAAGACTGCTTCAGTGGGTGCTACCTTGTCTGAACCTAGGGTCCAGAGTCTCTTGGGGCCTGTAGTAGATTGTATGGGCCTGATGTCTGAAGTTCCCATTCGATAAGGCTCGTCCGATTCCGCTTCCACCACGGCTGGGCACCCTATTAGCCCTTGTGCCTATCACTGTTGTTCGATCCAAGTTGCCTGCCCATTGGTAGGGTAATGTTCCTGAGTGTTGGTCACACTGAGGTAGGATAGTGGGATTGGGGGTGCGCTAGGAGTACTGACGTGAGGATGGGAGGCGAGGTGGTCTCATATTCCAGGACAACCACGACATATTCTAGGACACCCACGGCCCACTGCTCCAGGTGATCACTGTGCACTCAGTGACTGGCCTCTACAACACCATGGACTTTTTGGAAAAATAAAAAATAAAAAAGGGACAATTAGGGGCGATAAGGGACAATTAGGGGCAGTTAGGGACAATTAGGGGCGGGTATGGGCGGTTAGGGGAGAATGGATGACGAGCACGAGTGGTTACGGGTAGGTGCATACAATTATTGGTAGGTAAGGGCGGGAACTGGTAAAGAAAACTTGGGTAGGGTAGGGTATGGGTGGTTAACAAACGGTTTGGGGTCAGGTGGCTATGGGTGGTTATGAAAAAAAATGTTCATGGATAGGTATGGCCAGGTACATGCTGAAGACGTTCAGGTAGGGTAGGTCAGTGTATACTTTTTTTTTTTTTTAGTAGGTGGAGATGGGAAAAGGTCCGGCAGGCCAGATATACAGTGGGTATGGGTGGTTGGTTTTCGAAGAGGGTGTGGTTAGGTCAGGTACAAGTATTCATGAAAATCCCAGTTGCAAACTCTAATCCCACTCCTCTTCCCCGAACGCACAGGGTCGACCTCCAACCCCGCCTGAGCGTCAAGCATACCCTCGTCTCGCTGCCAAGGGAGGACATATCCACAACCTGCACGTTTGTACTCCATCAACCGCACATTTGCGGTGATCTCGACAAGATGAACGACCTTCTCGAAGGCCAACTGATTGTGCTTCTTCGTGTGAATGCCCTCGTGGACCGCCCAGTTCCTCTCTGCAGGAGAGGCGCATGACCACATGTGCATCACACGAAGGGCGCAATACTGTAAATCGAGCACGTCTCCCCCATACCGAGACCACCACGATGCACACTCCAACGTCTCGCAATCCCCGCTGCAACTACGGGCTCGAGCGCGGCCCTCTGCCCCACCCCATGTCCCATACCTACCCTGCTGCATGTGGAACTCCTCGAACGCCGACATACCTCAAGGTAACGAGCACCCCCCTCGTCGAAGCCCGTCTGAGACAACAGATACCTCTTGGCTTGTCGAACAAGCCAAGTGTGGTACCGGTTAAGCTGCACAGAGAAGTACTTAATATCTCGGTGGTGGGGGTTCAGTAAGAACGCCACACAGTGTGCAGGCTCCATCATGTGCTGTATGCGTGCCTGCACACGCCTCATGACAC